ATTATTGTGCGAATTAGGGTTTCCATTACTAAAATGAAAAGTAGGGGGGATAGGGGGCAACCTTGTCGTGTTCCTTGTGATAATATGATAGCTCTTTTGTCTTCTTCTCCGTTAATTATGAGGGTTGCTTCTTGGTTGGTATATATTGCCTCCACTGCGTTTTGAAAGTGAAACCCCATGTCTAATTCCCCTATCAGCATTTTTAGATAGTTCCAATTTACTCGATCAAAAGCCTTTTCGGCGTCTATAAACATCAATGCTACTTGTTTTTCGTTGTGCCTCTCGTAATATTCAATTGCATCAATAACTACTCTAATGTTATCCTTGATCTGCCTATTCGGTAAGAATCCGGTTTGTTCGTTAGAAATCCAATTTTTTAATCCTCCCCCTATATCTTACCTAAGTATCTACCCCTGAATATGTATTAAGTTAAAAGTTTCAATAAAGATTATTAAAAAAAAAAAAAAAAGAAAAAAATTAGCCTCCTCACATAAAGCGGTACCTAAATTTCCTACTTGACATGCAACTGTCTTTCTGGCTGCATAGGTCGACAGCAAGCTAGACGAATGGCCGGAAGATCACTCCGACCCAGGCTGGCTTCGAACTCATGACCTTTCGCTCAGTAGTGATTACTTACTTACTTAGGCAATCCCTCGTAGTCCGAGGATGATGGTCCTCCAAGGTTGGTATTCTGGCGGTGGGTCCGTAGATGACTGTGGAGCCCTATTCTTGATCTACATCTTCTCCCATAGTGAAGGCATTGGTTTCCAGGTGGAAGGCAGTTCCGGTCGGGGTTGGCTTGATGCGCCTTCCACTTGGCACATTTCTCTCTTTTGCCCTCCATTGGTGCCTCTTCAAATTCTGCAGCACTGCTGGTCTCAGCTGACCTCCAACTGGAGTGCTCAAGGGCCAGGGCTTCCCAGTTCTCAGTGTCTATGCCAGAGTTTTTAAGGTTGGCTTTGAGTCCATCTTTAAATCTCTCTTCCTGCCCACCAACAACCCATTTTCTGTTCCTGAGTTCATAATAAAGCAACTGCTTTGGGAGACGGTGGTCAGGCATCCAGACAACATGGCCAGTCCAGCGGAATTGATGGTGGAGGACCATCGCTTCAATGCTGGTGGTCTTTGCTTCTTCCAGCATGCTGCCATTTGTCTGCTTGTCTTCCCAAGAGATTTGCAGGATTTTTTGGAGGCAGTGTTGATGGAATCGTTCCAGGAGTTGCATGTGACGTCTGTAGACTTATGCACGTCTCGCAAGCATATAGCAGGGTTGGGAGGACAATAGCTTTATTAACAAGCACCTTGGTATTCCAATGGATGTCCTGGTCCTCAAACACTCTGTGCTTAATTCAGAAAAATGCTGCACTCGCAGAGCTCAGGAGGTGTTGAATTTCAGTGTCAATGTTGACTTTTGTGGAGAGCTGGCTGCCAAGGGAGCGGAAATGGTCAACATTTTCCAATGTTACGCCATTAAGTTGTATTTCTGGCATTGGAGAAGGATTGGCTGGTGACTGCTGGAAGAGCACTTTGGTTTTCTCGATGTTTAATGACAAGCCGAGCTGCTCGTATGCTTCTGCAGAGGTGTTTAGAGTGGCTTGTAGGTCTTCTGAATGTGCACAGACGACGTTGTCATCAGCATACTGGAGTTCAGTAGTGATTAAACGCAGCTGGCTCCCCAGATGGCTGTGCCACAGCCCAGCCCTACGCAATGTACTCGATCTCATGCCCCAGCTTTGTCCGCAGAACTTAAGAATAGTAATAATTCCCTGTCATCGGCTACAGCAGGCACGGGCCAATAATAGGATATCCTGATACTTTGATGAGTCCTGGGATTTAGGGACAATGGGTGTTTAGGTATCCTAATGGGCTCTGCAGATATGATAAAGGAACAAGGATGTGAATGAATGGGTTTTCGGTTCCTGCTGGGATATGATGCAGAAAGCCGTGATTACAGTGTTAACCATTTTTATTTATATGTAAGTAAGAAAAGTGTCAAGGAAGTCCAACACAGTCATAATGGACTTCAGAATAAAGGAAGAATCTCCTATATGAGAGAACCTATATGAGGAAGTCAAAAGAGGAAAGTCAAGAGGGTTAGGTCCCTCCAAAACGTTTGCAGGAGGGTGGGTATGTTTACTAAAAATCACAGAAGCTAGCTAGAAATACATACCACAAAACCAAGTCTCAAGGAAGACACAAATTGGGGGGGGGGGGGGGGGGGGGCAGCTCCCCATATGTGGCTGGATTGCTAATCCCATCGTCTTTCCATTGGCTCTGCTTATAATATGAGGTGGAAATGCTTCACTAATGAAATAAGGGACCAAATAGCCTCAATAGAATAAGTACTAGGAGGCAGCTCTAAAGTTATCTAGCATCCGGTGAAGCTGTCTGAGGGTGGGGTTGTGTTCTTCTTGAAGGAGGAGGTATGTGTAGTCTATATGTACAAGATCAAACCTTGTTGTAGAGGCCCAGAGAGATTGTGACTTATGCTGATTTATTGACTTCAGAGCGTCTGCTTGAAGGCACAAAAGTAAATAAATGAAGCGTGCTACCTTCAGTCAGCTCCAAAACCCAGAGTGGCATTTAATTATTTATTGCCAATTACTAAAACTACAAAAACTATCACATCTTTCCTTTTAGCTGTTCATCGGGTTAAGGTAATTTGCTGGCCTGTGGCTTTGAGTTGTTTCCAACTTATCCTAAGGTTTGTTCAGAGGGGGTTTGCCCTTGAGGTTTAGATAACACCTTTGCATTAATAGAAGAGTCTCACATACTATAGTTGCTTGCGAGCTAACCTCTGTGTATCCTGCCCTCCCTAAGCTTTTAAGTCCTGTGCTCAAGGCTACTATGAAACTCATGACAGCATGGGAGAGGCAAAGCAGTGAACATTCATCCCCAGCTGACCCTCCTGTTCGATTCATTTCTCCATCAGGGATTAGACTGAAAAGTAATTTCTGTTTTTGTTGTTGATCAAACTTCACTGAGACTGTCAGAGAGACCTCATGCACTCAGAGTGTTGGCCTGGGACCCGGGGGCCATTGGGGGCTGCCTGTATATAAAATTCAATGCATGGTTGATTAGTTGATCACAAAGGTTCCTACATGGTTTGCTGGATCTGGACAAAACTTGACAAAGATACTTTTTATTGTTGTTGTTCATTCGTTCAGTTGTTTCCGACTCTTCGTGACCTCATGGACCAGCCCATGCCAGAGCTCCCTGTAGGCCATCACCAACCCCAGCTCCTTCAAGGTCAATCCAGTCACTTCAAGGATCCCATCCATCCATCTTGCCCTTGGTCGGCCCCTCTTCCTTTTTCCTTCCATTTCCCTAGCATCATTATCTTCTCCAAGCTTTCCTGTCGTCACATGATGTGGCCAAAGTACTTTATCTTGGCCTCTACTATCCTTCCCTCCAATGATCAGTCGGGCTTTATTTCCTGAAGTATGGACTGGTTGGATCTTCTCGCTGTCCAAGGCACTCTCAGCACTTTCCACCAACACTATTCTTCTGTTGTGCGCTGGGCCTGTAAAGAATTTCCTTTAGAACAGGATGTGCAACCTTTGCCCAGCGGGAAGCCAGGGGGCCTAAAGAGAAGTTCTCAGAGGTTTTTCACCACAAATAGTCTTTAGGTGGCTTGTGAAGTACAACAAAGACTTTTATTAATGAACAATCAAACAGAAACTTCTCTTGTCTTCAGTAAAGTTAAGCAAATGATTCCAAGCTTTTAGGCAACTGGTGAATTCCTAATCTTGCCCACGAAGGATAGGCAACTGTCTTCAATAACTTCTTCTTTAAAAGAAAATCCCCTTTTTAACTTCTCCCAGGCTGACTGTAATCTAACCCTTACTGATGTGGGCTCCACTACCGGGTCGAACTGCATCTCGAACGCCGAGTGGACCTACCAGTAAGGCAGTAGACTCTCCAGCTGGAGTTCTTTGGTCTTTAGGGCTGTTTTCCTGGAAATTCTTAAGGGTGCTCTTAAAACTGTTTCCCCCCAGAAATCTTAAGGGTTGAAGCTTTTGTACAGGGGAAGCTTGCACACGTCCTATACATTAGCTTGCCTTGCTGAGATTAACTAAAAAATGGCTCCCTTCCCTTCCCAATTGCCCTAAGCAAGGGGCGGAACCAAAACTTAACGATGGACAGGTGACTTGCCCTATGACTGCAACCAAAGGAAGCCACCTATCTGCAGAGTCCCTGAAACCTTGGACTGCAAACAAACATTTAATACAAAGCAAATAAAATTTGAGCTCCTGGTACAGCCGTACCAGAACAACCATGGTTCAAAAGCATCTATCTTCCTTCGCTCAGCATAATTCAGAATATCAAGGCTAAATAACCCACAATATCTGCTTTGAACCTGGTTATCTGAGTCCACACTGCCACATAGCCCTGTTCAAAACAGATAATGTGGGGTTTTATTCAGCTGTGTGGAAGAGCCCTCCGAGAGAGTCTTGCAAAGCAACTACTTCCTGAGAATATGCGCCACCTAGCGCTTCTCTAAGCAGAGAACTGCGTCTGCTGCAAATGAACTACGTTTCCCTGTTTTCCCTCGAAGACGCATGCGCAGAAGCAGAGACATTCCAACCGTTCTGTAATTAACTGGCGAGGCCTCCAGCCAGTCATAATCGGCCAGCTCCCAATCCGTTCCTGCCGGCTTGAAGGCCCGCCTTCCCCGCTGACAGGCGGCTTCGTGGGCCAATCCGCAGAGAATGCCGAATTGGCCAATAGAAGGGCGAAACATCCGGTAGGAGGCGTCGCGGAGATCCCAAGGGGGAGGAGGGAGGGGAGACGCGTGACGGACAGCGGAGCCGTCCAATGGCTGGCCGGGCCCGTCCAATCAGCGCCAGGCGCCGCCCATTCCCCCTCCCCGCGCCGAGGTGGGTAGCAACAGTTGCCCCGGTGAGGGAACACGGAGGGCGCCATAGCCACCGTAGTCGTGGCGACCAGGAAACCCGGCAACAACAACAACAACCGCCCACCCTCCCCGCCTCAGCGCGATTCCCGCCAAAACCGAGGGAGGGTGCGACAGTCGCGACTTGGTCCCCGCCCCTCCCCCTCGCGGGGCAGGGACGCTCCAGGTGGGTCCGAGTCCGCTCCCCTTCCCTTTCCCCCTCGCAAGATGGCGCGGCCCGGGCCCCTCCGCTCGCTTGTCCCGAGGCAGCCTGGCCAGCAGCGTGGCGGGATTTTCCGCGCTTTGGGCCCCGCCGCGGCCGTCACTCCAAGCAGGGCTGGTCGGGAAAGGGCCCAGGCCCTGATAGGCGGGGCATCTGCACTTCCTGGTGATTGGTGGCAGGGCCCGCCAATGGGAGCCTCCTGGAATCCTCAAAGCGGCCAATTAGGCTTTGGGGGAGGCGGGAGCGGGACAGCCGTTGCCTAGAGTTAGATGGCGCGCGGAGGGGGGGGGGGGAAGAGAGACAGAGTTCTTGACTTCGGAACGCGTCGACTGTCATGTTCGTGTAATGACGTCACGAGGCTGTTTCTTTTGTTTTCGGTGTTTTTGTCGTTAGTCTTGTTGTTTTTGGTCTTGTTTTTTTTTATCTTCATTTTTCGCTGCCGGTCTCTTTCTACCCCCCCCCCCCCCAGCCAGAAGTCCGAGAAACTCCGAAATTGTCCACGCAGGTAGCTGAGGCCCCTTCCACACAGCTGTATAAAGTCCACATTGAACTGGATTATATGGCAGTATGAACTCAAGGCCCTTCCACACAGCCCTGTGTCCTAGAATATCAAGGCAGGAAATCCCACATTATCTGAGTCTACACTGGAATTTTCAGACATTATATTCTGGGATATAGGACTGTGTGGAAGGGCCCTGAGTCCACCATGCCATATATCCCAGGGCCCTTCCACACAGCCCTATATCCCAGAATATCTAGGCAGGAAATCCCACAAGATCTGCTTTGAACTGGGTTATCTGAGCCCACACTGCCATATATTCCAGTTCAAAGCAGAAAATGTGGGATTTTGTTCAATTGTGTTGAAGGGGCCTGAGTCCACACTGGGATAATGTAAAACTTGTGCGCCAGCTGCGCCCGTACCTTGAGAAGTTGGATCTGGCCACAGTGGTCCACGCTCTTGTTACATCCCGTTTAGATTACTGCAACGCACTCTACGTGGAGTTGCCTTTGAAGACTGTTCGGAAACTTCAATTAGTCCAGCGGGAGGCAGCCAGATTAGTCACCGGAGCGTCATACAGGGAGCATACCACCCCTCTGCTATGTCAGCTCCACTGGCTGCCGATCCAATTCCGAGCACAATTCAAAGTGCTGGTTTTGACCTACAAAACCCTATACGGTTCCGGCCCAGTGTATTTGTCCGAACGGATCTCCCTCTACATGCCACCTCGAAGTTTAAGATCTTCTGGGGAGGCCCTGCTCTTGGCCCCGCCTCTATCACAAGCGAGATTGGTGGGGATGAGGAGCAGGGCCTTCTTGGTGGTGGCCCCTCACCTGTGGAATTCTCTCCCTGGGGAAATTAGATCAGCGACATCCCTCCTTTCCTTTAGAAGGAAATTAAAAACATGGATTTGGGACCAGGCGTTTGGGCAATCTGGCAGATGAATAAAGGACTACGATGACCGATAAGAATAGATAATGTAGAACGAAATATGGACTCTGAGTTGGCGAACGCTGAGCTTGAGATTGGTTTATTGACTGTGATATATATTGATTGTTTTAACTGTCTTAATTGTTTTAATTGCTGTTTTACACGTTTATTTGTATTATTGTGTAGGCATCGAATTGTGCCTTTTTGTAAGCTGCCCTGAGTCCCCCCTCGGGGGTTGAGAAGGGCGGGGTAGAAGAACACGAAATAAATAAATAAATAATGTGGGATTTCCTGCCTTGATATTCTGGGTTATACGGCTGTGTGGAAGGGTCCAGAGTCTGCTTTCTGGCAGTTCAGTGTCCAGCACACAAACTTTGTTTAATGTGTAATATTATTATATAAAATATTATGTATAAATTACCTTCAGACTATGTGTCTAAAGTTGATATGAAGCAAGTAATGTTCATGTTTATACTCTGGCCCCATCTCCAAGGCGCCTTCCACACAACTGAATAAAATCCTACATTTTATGCTTTAAACTGATATATATGACAGTGTGGATTCGGTCCTTCCAGACAGGCCGTATATCCCAGGATCTGATCCCAGGTTTTCTGCTTTAAACTAGATTGTATGAATTCACACTACCAGATAATCCGGGTAAACAAAACCTGGGATCAGATCCTGGGATATACGGCCTGTCTGAAAGGGCCCACAGATAATTAAGTTTAATGCAGATAATGTGGATTATCTGCTTTGATAATCTGGATTATATAGCAGTGCAGAAGGGGCCTTAAATAGCGACTTGTGGAAAGAGCTGTCATAGGGAGAGGTGACAGAAAAATGCCAGAGCACATGCTTTGCATTCAGAAGAGTTCGTTTTAAGTAGTTAAGAGTTGTGGGAGGCAATCCTTCTGAGCCCCCTTCTACATTGCTATATGATCCAGATTATCAAATCAAATAATCCACATGATTTGCTTTGAGTGGGATTATTTGAGTCTACATTGTCATATAATCCAGTTCAAAGCAGATAATCTGTATTTTATATGGCAGTGTAGAAAGGGCCTTGGATGTCCCACTGGAGTTTCTCAGTATAATATAGCTTCCTGTATTTGGCAAAGGCTGTCAGGTAGACACTTCTAGGAATAATAGAAGAACCAAAAAAAGGAGAAGTTCATTTGTGCCAGTGTCATGTAGAAGATTGAGAGAACTCTATGGATCTGGATTCATGGAAACCCACTGGGTGGCTTGAGATGATTCGCACACTCTCAGCCCCAGAAAACCACAAGATCATTATAAATTGGAAATGACTTGAAGGCACAGAACAAGAAAGCCAGTCGCTCAGAGGCAGGGACATCTTTTCTTGGAGAAGGTCTCAAATTCCCTGACAACTCCACTTAGAGCAGTGGTTCTCAACAAGTGGGTCCCCAGGCGTTTTGGCCTACAACTTCTAGAAATCCCAGCCAGTTTACCAGCTGTTAGGATTTCTGGGAGTTGAAGGCCAAAACATCTGGGAACCTACAGGTTGAGAACCACTGACTTAGAGGATCTCTGATAGCATGGCTGGAAACACTTAATAGTTGGTGTACATGTAATCCTAAACATGGGGAACATACAATGTTGCATCTCTCCTCAGTTCTAGCCAGCATAGCCAATGGTTAGGGTTTATGGGAACTGCAGTCCAACATAAACTAAATACCCAAACTTTCCCTATCCCTGCTCTCTATAATAATAATAATAATAATAATCATCATCATCATCATCATCATCTTTATTTAATACCCCGCCACCATCTCCCCAATGGGGACTTGGGTGGCTTACCATGATAGTTGTGCTAGGTGTGAGACTTCTAGCAGCAGACCATCAAATGAGAACATCGAATCGTAGAGGCTGGTCAACTGTGGTTTTCAGCCCTGATAAAGAGGACAAGTGCAAACTAATTTGCTGGTTCAGATCTAACTGGCATGTAACTAAAGTGGAGCACTGGAGGTTAAGTTGAAGACCAGAATCACAGGGGTGGTTCCTTTAGTGCCCAATCAGTCTGAACAGAACAATCATTAAGCAGGTGTACATGTTTACAACATTCAGTTTATTAAGACATTATATTTGGTTTATGACGTTGACATCATGTCAGAAGTCATGAGTGAGATAAATGAATATGAAATGGTCCTGCCAACTCATAGTTAATGAGGATTTCTAAAATGTCATTACATTGTGTGACGGATGTGAGAGTGTGTGTTTTTGGGCACTTTAAAATGAATCTGTTGACACTGTATTAAAAGCTTCATACTGCTCAGAATGTAAATGCAGTATCTTAGAGCTCTCTGAAACATGGGGACTGGATACCTTGTGATTTATTTAGAAAGATGAAATAGACATTTATAAATAAATAAAAAATGTAGGGCTCACTTCTTATCTTTGGTGTGTATCTCTTTGAGAAACAAGAAACTTGCAATCTTTGGGTTGGATGGGCCTTTGATACATCTGTGATGATTATTATTACAAGTCAGTTAGGTCTACAGCCAAACTGTGTGCATGCTAACAGATATGTGAGCACATTATTTTTTCCAGAAGTTATAATTTGACTATACTGTAGAACAATATAGGCATTGATTGTGAGCTGTCGAAATACTGTTTTTAAATAATTTAGTTCATTGAAATCCAACAGTCAAAAATAACTTCATTGCTTATGTGTAGTATCTGCAGTGGAAACAGAATTTATGACATCTCTGCTGTGTGTCAGCTATGGTTCTATCCCCACCCAGATACTAGAAAAATATAGTTGCTTCATGCAACTAGTGAAGTTTCTGCCAGAAGTGGGCAGGCCTTGTCGTGTGAAGCTATATCCAGGATCACTATATTACAGTTTTGGCATTAGCTCTTGCTGAATTCCTTCCTCCAGCATTGTGTGAGCCACACCCAGACTACTTAGCACTGTTTTCCAGATGGGGCAAAAATCACTTACAGGCCTAATTCACCAGTTGGCAATGTGGCAATATGTTAAACCTTTTGATGATTTTAGTGTGCTAACTATATAGCTTGATGGGCTGTTGTTACTGAGTTACTGGTGCGGTTTGAAGTATTAAAGCGTGTGTTTGGGTGTATAGTAGTCCTTGGAACAGTTTTCAGGTTGAGAAGAGAAAACCTGTCAACAAAACGGGGACAACTTAGCCAAATTACGGTAGGGGCCAGTTGTCCTTGGAAAATATTAATAGTTCTTGTACCAATTAAGCTAAACTAGGGATGGATTGTTCCTTTATATCCTCTTGCTTCTGTTCTACATGTTTGCATTTGGTTCAGACATCTCCATAGTATTTCATGTAGGATTTAAAAAAAGAAATAATATGTGTGCAGATAGTTGTACTCAAAGGCAAGTGATCATGGTAATAACTGTGTGCTTTATTTTAAAACCAGAACAAACTAACAAGAAGTTGTTTGCCTTCTTATGTGCAAGAATAATATGATAATAAATGTTATTTCCAGCCCTACTCTGTTCATAGGTAAATGATCATTGGAACGGTGTCTTTATTAATGACTT